AGGTACCAACCAATTCTTTCTAAGACCCCAGGAAGAATGCCAAGAAAGGAAGGAAACAGGTAAAGGTAGAAGAAAAAAGAGAAAGTCTAAAGGGAATCTCATTTGTTTGGTAAATTCACACAAAAGTATAGATTCTATATGAAATGGGACCACGGAATATCAATAATGACAGAAACCACAAGAAGAGATGTACAGTCCTTAGGGCCTGCGCAAAGAACTGGATTGAAATTTGAGTTTGTTTTGTTTAAAAGAAACAGATGTGATTAATTGTACAACGTATTTAAGTTAGAGTGATATAATGCTATGTATTATCTTACACAAGTCTTATTTCCTGATACAAAGGTCCTTGAACAGCCACACCGAGGTCTGCAGTCAAAAGACTTTGGGACACTGGGTAAAGGCACAACAGTGACAATGATAATGGATTAGGTAATACTTACAGGCAACGATATTTATGTATCGGTTCTTGTGCTTGTTGTCTGGGTGGTTGGAGCTGTCTGCTGTGATACCTAAGTCAACAGTACAGCTCTGCACTTCCTGTAAAAAATTGTATGTATACCATTTTAGCACATACTCTTTCAGACAAAGTGCCTTAAAATATAATAGGAAAGACAAAACAAACAAAATAATCTATGCAAAGGACAATTTTTTTTTTACATGTTACAACTACTTCTTGGCTAAAATAAAATGCAGTGAAATAATGCCTTACCTGGTAAAACTCTTTCAGTGTCTAATGAGGGAATGAATGCCAAAAAAGTAAAGAAATCAAATTCCACAGCACACGACAAATGAGAAAAAAAAGCGTTCATATTAGGTTTACAATGGAAAACTATGATCATGCAATAAATACATTTGTCAAATACTAACAAAACAGAAATGTTTCAAACAGTTGCATGCAAATCAAAATGTCTAATAATTTGGAACCTTAAAATTATGTAAAAGAAGAAAATAACATCTTTAAAAGGGGACAGTGATGTAATAATACGATGATTTTTTAAATG